GACTATGCACTTCTATAAATAGATTACAAACTGTGATAAAATTAGTAAATTCATTTCCAAAGTCGTATCCGTAAACCTTCCTCAAATTGGTGCTACTGATATAAATTTTAATCAGAAAATTAAATCGCTTTACTGTCTTGCAACTAAATTGATCCATTGTATTTTTCTACTTGTTTGCAATTAGAACACAATCAAGCATCCATTTATCCTCAGTCATGCATGGATAGGCAGCGATTATTCTAATGTAATTAAAACCATTTGGGGTTATACATTTAAAACTAACTGTGAAACCTTAAGTTGACATCCCACCCTTAATGTGCGTGTGTATGTGACTGAAGGGAAAGAAAATGATGATTGCCAACCCTGGTTGCAAAAAGGTTGTTTATGTTAATATTTCACCGTCGATTTGGCTTGAAGAAAGCCAAAATTTCTACCAATTATTCTGTATAAGTTGTGAGAAAAAGTGACATGGAATAATTCCTTATTTTTAAGCTGATCGAGTTTTTATTTTCTCCATATGTTCACCGAAAAACACTTATTTTGTTTTTAAAGAAATCAACATTTGGAGAGTTTTGGAGAGTTTTAACTTCATCAGCAAAATCGTCACTAATGGGGTATTTTCCATGTTCGTGGGAATGTAGTCTACACAGAAGCTTTTTGCTCTCCGGTTTACACAGATTAATCATGATGTGCAAGTACCATTTAGAAGATCAGGAGGAAATGGTCAGTTAAGTTTTTAGATTTTTTATTTTATTTTATTTTTTTCAGCAAACAGCTGAAAGAAAGCTATTTCAACAAAAGGCCTAGAGATATTTAAAAGTGATGTATTAGAGCTTGTCGATTTCATTAGAGGAGTCTGAGCTACTGATGGTCTTTAAATAGTCCAATCCTTTTTTCTATCCTCTAATAACAGACCAACGAGGGATTTAATGTCTGACGTGATGTCTGTAAGAGCTTAAAATTAGAGACAGTCCAGTTCTTCATTGAATTAGAAGTCATAAATCTGTCAGATATAATCAGCTGGAAGTTTAGGACTTTCCTACAGGCCAAGGAATGAGTTGGCAGGAGGAGTGTTTATAAGACGAAAATCTGTCATGGTTTGTGATTCTATAGGTATAAACTCAGAGAGATGTAATAGAGCATATAAGACTGATCATTCATCCTCAGGGGTCTTTAGTCAGGATTAATTGTCTAAGGTTTACAGGGAAAAGTAATATCAAACGAAGAGACAGATGTGATTAAAATCACATTTCAGTCCAGCAGGACTGTCTCACCCAAATTACTTCACATACATCAGTTGCTTTAACAGCTTCCAAGTGAGCAATTTCAGTATGCAGTTGAAAATATTAAGTTTTTTTTTTTTTTCTGTGAGAGCATGAAGTATTAAACCAGTAAACTCTATCAGAAATTCTATAGTGATATGGAGAAAAAAACAAGCTGTGCTGTGTGAGTTTTCTGGTGTTTATTAAAAAGCATCTGTCTCAGATCTCGAAGAAAAAAGGACAAAGCAGACCTTTGGGACATGACTAAAATGGTGCATAACTTTGAAAAAAAAAAGCAAATCTAAATATTTAAAACATGAAACTATCATTTTAAAATCGATTTGCTATTTATTGGTGTGCATTTTTTTTTTTAGATTCTTGTCCCTTAACTTATTGATAACAAAATCCAATTGAGTATTTGTGACATGTATTGGCTATATAGTTATTACTTCATCTACAGGAAGTCTTGGTAATCTATTTCAAGTTGGTCAAGCAGTGAAGAAAAATAAATAAAGTAAAAAATACCAACTAAAAGTAAGCTAGGGTAAACATATACAACTGTTGCAAAGTCAAGTCAAGTTTATTTGAGTAACAAAACATTTCAAAGTGCCTTACACCATAAAAACATAATACAGTGACCAATGGTGAAACATTGGTATCATCACCAATAAAAGGCAGAATAAAACTATTAGTAATGCTTCTTTAATCTGGCAAACAATTAACATTTTGACAATGATAAATTACCTGCTTTAGTCATACATGGCAACATGAGCACATTTTGCCTCTGGTTTAAAGTGATAAAGGTCTGAATGCTAACTCAAAGAGCCAGCATTTTTACCAGACATAGTGCAGTGTGACATGCTGAGTCAATACTTTAAAATCACAATAGTTCAACACGGGGACAAAAGGATGTTTCTTTATTTATATACATATATATCTTTATATGGCTGCAAAGAAAGAACACTTTCAAAAATGGTTTAGGTCAAAGCTCTATTGATAAATGATCAAACGCTAACTTTCTTTCCTTTGTTGTATAAGAGTGTAGCAAGTCATAAATTTGGTCTTCTCAAAGTTCAGAAACCATTTCAGACATTGCTGCAGTTTTTCATAAGGTTATTCTAGAAACTCCATATCTTGGGTTTTCTACTGTCTGAATGACTTTGTCAACCTAATAAGTCACATGGTTTTGAGAAATTTCAAATCTACACTGTATCTGCAAATGTCTTGAGTCTTTCATGTGAAAAACTGCACATTTAAATTATGAATATGCAAAACTCTTCATTTAATTCTCCCATCTGCAAGTTAGATTCCACTTGCTCTCCTCCCATTCTTCCCTCACACTCATTTCCTCTCTGAAATTCAAACCAATTTGTCATTATCAGTTGGATGTAATTATGCATATTTAATGGTGGCATTCAGATGATCCTTTGAGTAAATTCTACAAATGGAATCATTTAAGTGTGGGATTTCATAACACTTATGAATGTGTGAAGTTGCCAGAAATTAAGCAGACTGAAGATGGAGTCACTCTTTTCCTCTATCTGCTAATGCGTTTCCTGCTCCAGATATCCTGTGGCTGCTTTCATTTCTGTTTTAACAGATGGATCTCTCTTTATCTCCTTCTCTTCTTGGAGTTTCTGCCATTCTACTTCTCCAATCATTGATCTCAGATGCTTTTTTCTGTATTCTATTCCTGTCATCTATTTCAAATGAGAAAAGGTTAGGCATTATCAATAAAGAATATTGTATTTTTTATGGTTGGTAGAAAACTTTTTCTTTTTTTTTTTCTTTTTACTTTTACACATGCTGTTACATTGGTAGTTTTTGACATGCTGTACCAGTATTGTAGTTCATATTCCAGATTTTTTTGTAGCTGATATACCACAAACAGGTTCAGTTATGTTTTGTAATTTCTAAAGATTTATTTAATTTCTACTTTCATTCATCAATAGAGTTATGGATAAATCATAACTCCATTTGTGAGTTATTATCTCGACTTGATGTTGTATTTATTAAAGAACTCAGATGTGATTTCAATTTCCTCCCACTTTAATGCTCTTTCTGTAACCTGGTTTGTTTTGCAAATTGATTTACTACAAGAGGATTTATTTTTTTTTTAGCAAATTGTGGCTGTGACAGAGTATTAGCATTACTAGTTGGGGAGATGGTAAGTAAAATTTAGAATTTAGTGAAATGTGAATATGGATCCATTAAATTAAAAAGATGCAGTCATGTCCTTATGATCAAGGTCCTGTCCTGATTTATACACTTTTAAATTGATCTGGGTGTCCCTAAATGAGCTCAACCCTACCTCGTATACATATAACCTAATACACACACACACACACACCCACACACACACAAACACACACACACACACACACCCTCCATGGGCTGCCACCTTATCGTGGTGGGGGGGGTTTGCGTGTCCCAGTGATCCTAGGAGTTCTGCTGCCCAGTGCAGACGGTTCTAGGTGAGGGACCAGACCAAGTGCAGCCCAAAGATCCCTTATGATGATACGACCGTTGGAAACAGGGGTTGTTCTCTCCGTACATGAGGTCCCACCCTGGAGCCACCCTGGCCTGGGGCTGGGGCACGTTGGTGAGCCCCTGGTGGCCAGTGGTGGTATGACAATAAAAACCCTTGAATCCCTGAACTATATCAACAATATGTGCACCAAGCAATACATACACTTAGCATTCCACAGATAAATGCTTTTAATCTGGTTAAGAATAATAATTGTACTGTCAATAAATGACGTCTAATTGATGTTCTTAGTGACCAGAGGAACAGTAAGGCCTTAATCAGCCCACAGGTTCAAACTGATGAAACATGAGGATGGAGGCTCTCTATTAAAACATTCCTCACCATCTTCCATGTTCTTTCAGCAAACAGTTGAGACAGAGCTGGTTTTGGTTCCACCACTATTGGCCTGCTGCTTTAGCCGCCATTGAAAGTTTTCTTAAAAGTCTGTCTGTCAGTCTGCAGATCATGTGACCAAACCAGAAAACACACTGGAAATATAGATTACAGCATTCTTTGTTTTACCTGGCAGCCATCTTGGTAGGCGGTTGCTATGACAACAATAAACAAGCCACAACAATACCAGAACATTACAACCGTTGTTTACGTCTATTTATGATACATTTTCTTTCCCACTCTCGTTTTCTATCTGGCCCCTTAATGGAAATGAGTCGGATGTTCCTGATATACGGGATAAAAACAATGAATCATGAATTATTCTTGTTTTGAATGTAAACAAGAATAAAGAGTAGGATAATTGGTGGTGGAATGATGTCACTCCACCAGCAAAGGGAGATTCTGTGATGTCACAGCCGATGCCGTCAGTGATGTCATCAACGGGAGAATTGTATGTGACACAATTCTGCAAATTGGTCATTGCTTGCAATACCCCTGACTTGTTCAGACGCTCGCAAAGCTCTTTAAGGAAGTTTTCCAAACGACGATTTTAGCGAAAGCATTAGGAGAAAAAATGTCTCATCATTCACCAAGATTCAACTTTGAACTGATTGGACCCCACGGGAGAAGGGAAGCCCAGCAGAACCAGCAAGGCGGGTTCCCTCCTGTGCAGCCCAATGCCTCCCACGGGGAGATCGGAAGGCTGAGCTCCCTCCAGGAGATGGAGAGAGCTGGAAGGTACGAAGACCACCAGCGACTGGCCCACCTGGAGGCAGAGCTGGAGCGAGAGAGAGAAGAGTAAGGGCCTCCAGGAAGAAATGGAGGCACTTCAGACTTCGTACGAGGAGCTGAGCTCCAAGTACGAAGCTGAAGTAGCTCTGGTGAGGCTGGAGGCCCAAACACAGAAGGATTATGAAGAGGGAATCAAAAACCTGAAAGCAGAGAAGGAAGAGATCATCGAAAACCTGTCAAGAAACATCAACATCATGCGAAAGAGGGAGAAACAGATCCTAAATGAACTTGACCAGGTTTTCTATTCATTTGAGGAGCTGAAACGCAGATATGAGACGGACATCATCTATTTTCAGCAGCAGATTGAGTCGTTCCGTCAGAGGACGGAGCAAAAGGAAACCACTCTTTCTAACAGAGTCAAGAAAGGAAAACTTCTGCGGGAAAAAAACTTTTCTTCCCTGCAACAGCAAGTTGCAAAACTGCAGCAGCAAATCACAGCGGAGAGGAAATGTCATCAAGAGAAGTCAGAGGAGGACCTGGCCATTCTCCATAACATCAGAGCCGAGAATGCCGTCCTCCTGGAAGAGACCAGGCAAGAGATGAACATCCTGCAGGAGAAGGTCAGCAGCTCCCAGGATGACTTGCAGAAGGCTGACAGTAGGTACAAAGAGCTCCTCTGCCGGTACGAGACGGACATCATCCATCTGCAGCACCAGAATGAGTCGTACCGGCAGAGGATAAAGCAACAGACAATAGCCCTTTCTAACAGAGAGCAGCTACTCCAGGAAAGAACGTTTTGTGCCCTAAAACAGCAAGTTAGAAAACTGCAGCAGCAGATCAATCAGGAGAGAGAAAGTCATCAACAGAAATCCGAGGAGGACGAGGCGATGCTCCACGCCATCGAAGCCGAGAACGCCGTCCTCCTTGAAAAGACCAGGCAAGAGGTTAAGATCCTGCAGGAGAAGGTCAGCAGCTCCCAGGATGAGTTGCAAACGGCTGACGGTAGGTACAAAGAGCTCCACTGTAGATACAAGACAGACATCACTGATTTGATACAACTAACGGAGCAGTACCAACAGCAGGTGACTTGTCTGCAAAATGACTTGGAGAGAGCCAGCCTGGATCTGTCTGGCTCTTTCCAAGTCATTTCTGACCTGCTGAGACAACAGAAGGATGGTCCCCAAGAGAAGGAGGTAAGTTCTCTAATTCAACTCGACCTGGTCCAAGTTTCCAGCCAAGAGGATTCTTCGAGGAGGCGCTTTCTGGAGGACCTTGTTCCACGACCAAGAATCCACGGAGGAGATCCCTGGCGAATCTGGCATGGAAGAGTTGGACCATCCACACACTGACACCATGCAGGAGGGTGAGAAGAAAAAGTCAAAATTTTCAATTTGGAAAAAAATTCGTAACACTCTGCGACTGAAAAAGTAAAACAAAAAAAAGAGTGAAGGCAATTAGAGAAGGAGCAAGACATGCAAGAGAGACTGAGGACTGGAATCAGACGCAGGAAGGTTGTAGCGTCTGCGTTCGGGGCGCCATGCGACGCTCCGACAGCAGGACGTTTACAGCAGTTACGTTTTTTCCCCAAATTCGATCCCTTCCCCACCAAATTGAAAAAACGTGGGCAGCACGGTGGCGCAGCGGTTAGCGCTGCGTCTTCACAGAGACCCTCTGTGTGGAGTTTGCATGGTCTCCCCGTGTTTGCGTGGGTTTTCCCCGGGCGCTCCGGTTCCCCCCATCTCCTAAAACATGCAGGTCAGGTCAGTTGGTCGCTGCAAATCGCCCCAAAAAGAAACTCCCAACACATTTTACTGTGTTTTATTGCTAACCTTGTCAAATTTAGGTTTCATTTAGGACGTGACTGAAAGGTTTTGTTTGTCAACCTGCGTTTGATTCCCAGTCCTGGGGAATCTGCTGCATGTCTTTCCTTCTCTCTCCTCCCAATTTCCAAATATTTGGGAGGAGCCTAAAAACTTAATTTGAGCCTAAAAAACTTAATTAGACCCTAAAAAACTGAAACATTGACTTTATCTCACAAATGGACCCAAAAAAAAATCAACTTTCTTTCTCTCTCTCCCACAAAATTAACAGATTACTTAACACGCACACACACCCTTACAAGCATAACCAAGCCTTCCCACCCAATTGAAAAAACGTGGGCAGCACGGTGGCGCAGCGGTTAGCGCTGTGTCTTCACAGAGACCCTCTGTGTGGAGTTTGCATGGTCTCCCCTGTTTGCGTGGGTTTTCCCCGGGCGCTCCGGTTCCCCCCACATCTCCTAAAACATGCAGGTCAGGTCAGTTGGTCGCTGCAAATCGCCCCCAAAAAGAAACTTACTTAACATACACACACACACCCACACACACACACCCCCTCCATGGGCTGCCACCTTATCGTGGTGGGGGGGTTTGCGTGTCCCAGTGATCCTAGGAGTTCTGCTGCCCAGTGCAGACGGGTTCTAGGTGAGGGACCAGACCAAGTGCAGCCCAAAGATCCCTTATGATGATACGACCGTTGGAAACAGGGGTTGTTCTCTCCGTACATGAGGTCCCACCCTGGAGCCACCCTGGCCTGGGGCTGGGGCACGTTGGGGAGCCCCTGGTGGCCAGTGGTGGTATGACAATAAAAACCCTTGAATCCCTGAACTATATCAACAATATGTGCACCAAGCAATACATACACTTAGCATTCCACAGATAAATGCTTTTAATCTGGTTAAGAATAATAATTGTACTGTCAATAAATGACGTCTAATTGATGTTCTTAGTGACCAGAGGAACAATAAGGCCTTAATCAGCCCACAGGTTCAAACTGATGAAACATGAGGATGGAGGCTCTCTATTAAAACATTCCTCACCATCTTCCATGTTCTTTCAGCAAACAGTTGAGACAGAGCTGGTTTTGGTTCCACCACTATTGACCTGCTGCTTTAGCCGCCATTGAAAGTTTTCTTAAAAGTCTGTCTGTCAGTCTGCAGATCATGTGACCAAACCAGAAAACACACTGGAAATATAGATTACAGCATTCTTTGTTTTACCTGGCAGCCATCTTGGTAGGCGGTTGCTATGACAACAATAAACAAGCCACAACAATACCAGAACATTACAACCGTTGTTTACGTCTATTTATGATACATTTTCTTTCCCACTCTCGTTTTCTATCTGGCCCCTTAATGGAAATGAGTCGGATGTTCCTGATATACGGGATAAAAACAATGAATCATGAATTATTCTTGTTTTGAATGTAAACAAGAATAAAGAGTAGGATAATTGGTGGTGGAATGATGTCACTCCACCAGCAAAGGGAGATTCTGTGATGTCACAGCCGATGCCGTCAGTGATGTCATCAACGGGAGAATTGTATGGACACAATTCTGCAAATTGGTCATTGCTTGCAATACCCCTGACTTGTTCAGACGCTCGCAAAGCTCTTTAAGAAGTTTTCCAAACGACGATTTTAGCGAAAGCATTAGGAGAAAAAATGTCTCATCGTTCACCAAGATTCAACTTTGAACTGATTGGACCCCACGGGAGAAGGGAAGCCCAGCAGAACCAGCAAGGCGGGTTCCCTCCTGTGCAGCCCAATGCCTCCCACGGGGAGATCGGAAGGCTGAGCTCCCTCCAGGAGATGGAGAGAGCTGGAAGGTACGAAGACCACCAGCGACTGGCCCACCTGGAGGCAGAGCTGGAGCGAGAGAGAGAGAAGAGTAAGGGCCTCCAGGAAGAAATGGAGGCACTTCAGACTTCGTACGAGGAGCTGAGCTCCAAGTACGAAGCTGAAGTAGCTCTGGTGAGGCTGGAGGCCCAAACACAGAAGGATTATGAAGAGGGAATCAAAAACCTGAAAGCAGAGAAGGAAGAGATCATCGAAAACCTGTCAAGAAACATCAACATCATGCGAAAGAGGGAGAAACAGATCCTAAATGAACTTGACCAGGTTTTCTATTCATTTGAGGAGCTGAAACGCAGATACGAGACAGACATAATCTATTTTCAGCAGCAGATTGAGTCGTTCTCGCAGAGGAAAGAGCAAAAGGAAACCACTCTTTCTAACAGAGTCAAGAAAGGAAAACTTCTGCGGGAAAAAAACTTTTCTTCCCTGCAACAGCAAGTTGCAAAACTGCAGCAGCAAATCACAGCGGAGAGGAAAAGTCATCAAGAGAAGTCAGAGGAGGACCTGGCCATTCTCCATAACATCAGAGCCGAGAATGCCGTCCTCCTGGAAGAGACCAGGCAAGAGATGAACATCCTGCAGGAGAAGGTCAGCAGCTCCCAGGATGACTTGCAGAAGGCTGACAGTAGGTACAAAGAGCTCCTCTGCCGGTACGAGACGGACATCATCCATCTGCAGCAGCAGAATGAGTCGTACCGGCAGAGGATAAAGCAACAGACAATAGCCCTTTCTAACAGAGAGCAGCTACTCCAGGAAAGAACGTTTTGTGCCCTAAAACAGCAAGTTAGAAAACTGCAGCAGCAGATCAATCAGGAGAGAGAAAGTCATCAACAGAAATCCGAGGAGGACGAGGCGATGCTCCACGCCATCGAAGCCGAGAACGCCGTCCTCCTTGAAAAGACCAGGCAAGAGGTTAAGATCCTGCAGGAGAAGGTCAGCAGCTCCCAGGATGAGTTGCAGACGGCTGACGGTAGGTACAAAGAGCTCCACTGTAGATACAAGACAGACATCACTGATTTGATACAACTAACGGAGCAGTACCAACAGCAGGTGACTTGTCTGCAAAATGACTTGGAGAGAGCCAGCCTGGATCTGTCTGGCTCTTTCCAAGTCATTTCTGACCTGCTCAGACAACAGAAGGATGGTCCCCAAGAGAAGGAGGTAAGTTCTCTAATTCAACTCGACCTGGTCCAAGTTTCCAGCCAAGAGGATTCTTCGGAGGAGGCGCTTTCTGGAGGACCTTGTTCCACCGACCAAGAATCCACGGAGGAGATCCCTGGCAATCTGGCATGGAAGAGTTGGACCATCCACACACTGACACCATGCAGGAGGGTGAGAAGAAAAAGTCAAAATTTTCAATTTGGAAAAAAATTCGTAACACTCTGCGACTGAAAAAGTAAAACAAAACAAAAGAGTGAAGGCAATTAGAGAAGGAGCAAGACATGCAAGAGAGACTGAGGACTGGAATCAGACGCAGGAAGGTTGTAGCGTCTGCGTTCGGGGCGCCATGCGACGCTCCGACAGCAGGACGTTTACAGCAGTTACGTTTTTTCCCCAAATTCGATCCCTTCCCTACCAAATTGAAAAAACGTGGGCAGCACGGTGGCGCAGCGGTTAGCGCTGCGTCTTCACAGAGACCCTCTGTGTGGAGTTTGCATGGTCTCCCCGTGTTTGCGTGGGTTTTCCCCGGGCGCTCCGGTTCCCCCCACATCTCCTAAAACATGCAGGTCAGGTCAGTTGGTCGCTGCAAATCGCCCCCAAAAAGAAACTCCCAACACATTTTACTGTGTTTTATTGCTAACCTTGTCAAATTTAGGTTTCATTTAGGACGTGACTGAAAGGTTTTGTTTGTCAACCTGCGTTTGATTCCCAGTCCTGGGGAATCTGCTGCATGTCTTTTCCTTCTCTCTCCTCCCAATTTCCAAATATTTGGGAGGAGCCTAAAAAACTTAATTTGAGCCTAAAAAACTTAATTAGACCCTAAAAAACTGAAACATTGACTTTATCTCACAAATGGACCCCAAAAAAAATCAACTTTCTTTCTCTCTCTCCCACAAAATTAACAGATTACTTAACACGCACACACACCCTCACAAGCATAACCAAGCCTTCCCCACCCAATTGAAAAAACGTGGGCTGCACGGTGGCGCAGCGGTTAGTGCTGCGTCTTCACAGAGACCCTCTGTGTGGAGTTTGCATGGTCTCCCCGTGTTTGCGTGGGTTTTCCCCGGGCGCTCCGGTTCCCCCTACATCTCCTAAAACATGCAGGTCAGGTCAGTTGGTCGCTGCAAATCGCCCCCAAAAAGAAACTTACTTAACACACAAACACACACACACGCACACACACACACCCCCTCCATGGGCTGCCACCTTATCGTGGTGGGGGGGTTTGCGTGTCCCAGTGATCCTAGGAGTTCTGCTGCCGTGCAGACGGGTTCTAGGTGAGGGACCAGACCAAGTGCAGCCCAAAGATCCCTTATGATGATACGACCGTTGGAAACAGGGGTTGTTCTCTCCGTACATGAGGTCCCACCCTGGAGCCACCCTGGCCTGGGGCTGGGGCACGTTGGGGAGCCCCTGGTGGCCAGTGGTGGTATGACAATAAAAACCCTTGAATCCCTGAACTATATCAACAATATGTGCACCAAGCAATACATACACTTAGCATTCCACAGATAAATGCTTTTAATCTGGTTAAGAATAATAATTGTACTGTCAATAAATGAGGCCTAATCAATGTTCTTAGTGACCAAAGGAACAATAAGGCCTTAATCAGCCCAGAGGTTCAAACTGATGAAACATGAGGATGGAGGCTCTCTATTAAAACATTCCTCACCATCTTCCATGTTCTTTCAGCAAACAGTTGAGACAGAGCTGGTTTTGGTTCCACCACTATTGATCTGCTGCTTTAGCCGCCATTGAAAGTTTTCTTAAAAGTCTGTCTGTCAGTCTGCAGATCATGTGACCAAACCAGAAAACACACTGGAAATATAGATTACAGCATTCTTTGTTTTACCTGGCAGCCATCTTGGTAGGCGGTTGCTATGACAACAATAAACAAGCCACAACAATACCGAACATTACAACCGTTGTTTACGTCTATTTATGATACATTTTCTTTCCCACTCTCGTTTTCTATCTGGCCCCTTAATGGAAATGAGTCGGATGTTCCTGATATACGGGATAAAAACAATGAATCATGAATTATTCTTGTTTTGAATGTAAACAAGAATAAAGAGTAGGATAATTGGTGGTGGAATGATGTCACTCCACCAGCAAAGGGAGATTCTGTGATGTCACAGCCGATGCCGTCAGTGATGTCATCAACGGGAGAATTGTATGTGACACAATTCTGCAAATTGGTCATTGCTTGCAATACCCCTGACTTGTTCAGACGCTCGCAAAGCTCTTTAAGGAAGTTTTCCAAACGACATTTTAGCGAAAGCATTAGGAGAAAAAATGTCTCATCGTTCACCAAGATTCAACTTTGAACTGATTGGACCCCACGGGAGAAGGGAAGCCCAGCAGAACCAGCAAGGCGGGTTCCCCCTGTGCAGCCCAATGCCTCCCACGGGGAGATCGGAAGGCTGAGCTCCCTCCAGGAGATGGAGAGAGCTGGAAGGTACGAAGACCACCAGCGACTGGCCCACCTGGAGGCAGAGCTGGAGCGAGAGAGAGAGAAGAGTAAGGGCCTCCAGGAAGAAATGGAGGCACTTCAGACTTCGTACGAGGAGCTGAGCTCCAAGTACGAAGCTGAAGTAGCTCTGGTGAGGCTGGAGGCCCAAACACAGAAGGATTATGAAGAGGGAATCAAAAACCTGAAAGCAGAGAAGGAAGAGATCATCGAAAACCTGTCAAGAAACATCAACATCATGCGAAAGAGGGAGAAACAGATCCTAAATGAACTTGACCAGGTTTTCTATTCATTTGAGGAGCTGAAACGCAGATATGAGACGGACATCATCTATTTTCAGCAGCAGATTGAGTCGTTCCGTCAGAGGACGGAGCAAAGGAAACCACTCTTTCTAACAGAGTCAAGAAAGGAAAACTTCTGCGGGAAAAAAACTTTTCTTCCCTGCAACAGCAAGTTGCAAAACTGCAGCAGCAAATCACAGCGGAGAGGAAAAGTCATCAAGAGAAGTCAGAGGAGGACCTGGCCATTCTCCATAACATCAGAGCCGAGAATGCCGTCCTCCTGGAAGAGACCAGGCAAGAGATGAACATCCTGCAGGAGAAGGTCAGCAGCTCCCAGGATGACTTGCAGAAGGCTGACAGTAGGTACAAAGAGCTCCTCTGCCGGTACGAGACGGACATCATCCATCTGCAGCAGCAGAATGAGTCGTACCGGCAGAGGATAAAGCAACAGACAATAGCCCTTTCTAACAGAGAGCAGCTACTCCAGGAAAGAACGTTTTGTGCCCTAAAACAGCAAGTTAGAAAACTGCAGCAGCAGATCAATCAGGAGAGAGAAAGTCATCAACAGAAATCCGAGGAGGACGATGCTCCACGCCATCGAAGCCGAGAACGCCGTCCTCCTTGAAAAGACCAGGCAAGAGGTTAAGATCCTGCAGGAGAAGGTCAGCAGCTCCCAGGATGAGTTGCAGACGGCTGACGGTAGGTACAAAGAGCTCCACTGTAGATACAAGACAGACATCACTGATTTGATACAACTAACGGAGCAGTACCAACAGCAGGTGACTTGTCTGCAAAATGACTTGGAGAGAGCCAGCCTGGATCTGTCTGGCTCTTTCCAAGTCATTTCTGACCTGCTGAGACAACAGAAGGATGGTCCCCAAGAGAAGGAGGTAAGTTCTCTAATTCAACTCGACCTGGTCCAAGTTTCCAGCCAAGAGGATTCTTCGGAGGAGGCGCTTTCTGGAGGACCTTGTTCCACCGACCAAGAATCCACGGAGGAGATCCCTGGCGAATCTGGCATGGAAGAGTTGGACCATCCACACACTGACACCATGCAGGAGGGTGAGAAGAAAAAGTCAAAATTTTCAATTTGGAAAAAAATTCGTAACACTCTGCGACTGAAAAAGTAAAACAAAACAAAAGAGTGAAGGCAGTTAGAGAAGGAGCAAGACATGCAAGAGAGACTGAGGACTGGAATCAGACGCAGGAAGGTTGTAGCGTCTGCGTTCGGGGCGCCATGCGACGCTCCGACAGCAGGACGTTTACAGCAGTTACGTTTTTTCCCCAAATTCGATCCCTTCCCCACCAAATTGAAAAAACGTGGGCAGCACGGTGGCGCAGCGGTTAGCGCTGCGTCTTCACAGACCCTCTGTGTGGAGTTTGCATGGTCTCCCCGTGTTTGCGTGGGTTTTCCCCGGGCGCTCCGGTTCCCCCCACATCTCCTAAAACATGCAGGTCAGGTCAGTTGGTCGCTGCAAATCGCCCCCAAAAAGAAACTCCCAACACATTTTACTGTGTTTTATTGCTAACCTTGTCAAATTTAGGTTTCATTTAGGACGTGACTGAAAGGTTTTGTTTGTCAACCTGCGTTTGATTCCCAGTCCTGGGGAATCTGCTGCATGTCTTTTCCTTCTCTCTCCTCCCAATTTCCAAATATTTGGGAGGAGCCTAAAAAACTTAATTTGAGCCTAAAAAACTTAATTAGACCCTAAAAAACTGAAACATTGACTTTATCTCACAAATGGACCCAAAAAAAATCAACTTTTTTCTCTCTCTCCCACAAAATTAACAGATTACTTAACACGCACACACACACCCTTACAAGCATAACCAAGCCTTCCCACCCAATTGAAAAAACGTGGGCAGCACGGTGGCGCAGCGGTTAGCGCTGTGTCTTCACAGAGACCCTCTGTGTGGAGTTTGCATGGTCTCCCCGTGTTTGCGTGGGTTTTCCCCGGGCGCTCCGGTTCCCCCTACATCTCCTAAAACATGCAGGTCAGGTCAGTTGGTCGCTGCAAATCGCCCCCAAAAAGAAACTTACTTAACACACAAACACACACCCACACACACACACACACCCTCCATGGGCTGCCACCTTATCGTGGTGGGGGGGTTTGCGTGTCCCAGTGATCCTAGGAGTTCTGCTGCCCAGTGCAGATGGGTTCTAGGTGAGGGACGAGACCAAGTGCAGCCCAAAGATCCCTTATGATGATACGACCGTTGGAAACAGGGGTTGTTCTCTCCGTACATGAGGTCCCACCCTGGAGCCACCCTGGCCTGGGGCTGGGGCACGTTGGGGAGCCCCTGGTGGCCAGTGGTGGTATGACAATAAAAACCCTTGAATCCCTGAACTATATCAACAATATGTGCACCAAGCAATACATACACTTAGCATTCCACAGATAAATGCTTTTAATCTGGTTAAGAATAATAATTGTACTGTCAATAAATGAGTCCTAATCAATGTTCTTAGTGACCAAGGAACAATAAGGCCTTAATCAGCCCAGAGGTTCAAACTGATGAAACATGAGGATGGAGGCTCTCTATTAAAACATTCCTCACCATCTTCCATGTTCTTTCAGCAAACAGTTGAGACAGAGCTGGTTTTGGTTCCACCACTATTGACCTGCTGCTTTAGCCGCCATTGAAAGTTTTCTTAAAAGTCTGTCTGTCAGTCTGCAGATCATGTGACCAAACCAGAAAACACACTGGAAATATAGATTACAGCATTCTTTGTTTTACCTGGCAGCCATCTTGTAGGCGGTTGCTATGACAACAATAAACAAGCCACAACAATACCGAACATTACAACCGTTGTTTACGTCTATTTATGATACATTTTCTTTCCCACTCTCGTTTTCTATCTGGCCCCTTAATGGAAATGAGTCGGATGTTCCTGATATACGGGATAAAAACAATGAATCATGAATTATTCTTGTTTTGAATGTAAACAAGAATAAAGAGTAGGATAATTGGTGGTGGAATGATGTCACTCCACCAGCAAAGGGAGATTCTGTGATGTCACAGCCGATGCCGTCAGTGATGTCATCAACGGGAGAATTGTATGTGACACAATTCTGCAAATTGGTCATTGCTTGCAATACCCCTGACTTGTTCAGACGCTCGCAAAGCTCTTTAAGGAAGTTTTCCAAACGACGATTTTAGCGAAAGCATTAGGAGAAAAAATGTCTCATCGTTCACCAAGATTCAACTTTGAACTGATTGGACCCCACGGGAGAAGGGAAGCCCAGCAGAACCAGCAAGGCGGGTTTCCCTCCTGTGCAGCCCAATGCCTCCCACGGGGAGATCGGAAGGCTGAGCTCCCTCCAGGAGATGGAGAGAGCTGGAAGGTACGAAGACCACCAGCGACTGGCCCACCTGGAGGCAGAGCTGGAGCGAGAGAGAGAGAAGAGTAAGGGCCTCCAGGAAGAAATGGAGGCACTTCAGACTTCGTACGAGGAGCTGAGCTCCAAGTACGAAGCTGAAGTAGCTCTGGTGAGGCTGGAGGCCCAAACACAGAAGGATTATGAAGAGGGAATCAAAAACCTGAAAGCAGAGAAGGAAGAGATCATCGAAAACCTGTCAAGAAACATCAACATCATGCGAAAGAGGGAGAAACAGATCCTAAATGAACTTGACCAGGTTTTCTATTCATTTGAGGAGCTGAAACGCAGATATGAGACGGACATCATCTATTTTCAGCAGCAGATTGAGTCGTTCCGTCAGAGGACGGAGCAAAAGGAAACCACTCTTTCTAACAGAGAGAAGAAAGGAAAACTTCTGCGGGAAAAAAACTTTTCTTCCCTGCAACAGCAAGTTGCAAAACTGCAGCAGCAAATCACAGCGGAGAGGAAAAGTCATCAAGAGAAGTCAGAGGAGGACCTGGCCATTCTCCATAACATCAGAGCCGAGAATGCCGTCCTCCTGGAAGAGACCAGGCAAGAGATGAACATCCTGCAGGAGAAGGTCAGCAGCTCCCAGGATGACTTGCAGAAGGCTGACAGTAGGTACAAAGAGCTCCTCTGCCGGTACGAGACGGACATCATCCATCTGCAGCAGCAGAATGAGTCGTACCGGCAGAGGATAAAGCAACAGACAATAGCCCTTTCTAACAGAGAGCAGCTACTCCAGGAAAGAACGTTTTGTGCCCTAAAACAGCAAGTTAGAAAACTGCAGCAGCAGATCAATCAGGAGAGAGAAAGTCATCAACAGAAATCCGAGGAGGACGAGGCGATGCTCCACGCCATCGAAGCCGAGAACGCCGTCCTCCTTGAAAAGACCAGGCAAGAGGTTAAGATCCTGCAGGAGAAGGTCAGCAGCTCCCAGGATGAGTTGCAGACGGCTGACGGTAGGTACAAAGAGCTCCACTGTAGATACAAGACAGACATCACTGATTTGATACAACTAACGGAGCAGTACCAACAGCAGGTGACTTGTCTGCAAAATGACTTGGAGAGAGCCAGCCTGGATCTGTCTGGCTCTTTCCAAGTCATTTCTGACCTGCTGAGACAACAGAAGGATGGTCCCCAAGAGAAGGAGGTAAGTTCTCTAATTCAACTCGACCTGGTCCAAGTTTCCAGCCAAGAGGATTCTTCGGAGGAGGCGCTTTCTGGAGGACCTTGTTCCACCGACCAAGAATCCACGGAGGAGATCCCTGGCGAATCTGGCATGGAAGAGTTGGACCATCCACACACTGACACCATGCAGGAGGGTGAGAAGAAAAAGTCAAAATTTTCAATTTGGAAAAAAATTCGTAACACTCTGCGACTGAAAAAGTAAAACAAAACAAAAGAGTGAAGGCAATTAGAGAAGGAGCAAGACATGCAAGAGAGACTGAGGACTGGAATCAGACGCAGGAAGGTTGTAGCGTCTGCGTTCGGGGCGCCATGCGACGCTCCGACAGCAGGACGTTTACAGCAGTTACGTTTTTTCCCCAAATTCGATCCCTTCCCCACCAAATTGAAAAAACGTGGGCAGCACGGTGGCGCAGCGGTTAGCGCTGCGTCTTCACAGAGACCCTCTGTGTGGAGTTTGCATGGTCTCCCCGTGTTTGCGTGGGTTTTCCCCGGGCGCTCCGGTTCCCCCCACATCTCCTAAAACATGCAGGTCAGGTCAGTTGGTCGCTGCAAATCGCCCCCAAAAAGAAACTCCCAACACATTTTACTGTGTTTTATTGCTAACCTTGTCAAATTTAGGTTTATTTAGGACGTGACTGAAAGGTTTTGTTGTCAACCTGCGTTTGATTCCCAGTCCTGGGGAATCTGCTGCATGTCTTTCCCTTCTCTCTCCTCCCAATTTCCAAATATTTGGGAGGAGCCTAAAAAACTTAATTAGAGCCTAAAAACTTAATTAGACCCTAAAAAACTGAAACATTGACTTTATCTCACAAATGGACCCTAAAAAATCAACTTTTTTTCTCTCTCTCCCACAAATTAACAGATTACTTAACATGCACACACACCCTTACAAGCATAACCAAGCCTTCCCACCCAATTGAAAAAACGTGGGCAGCACGGTGGCGCAGCGGTTAGCGCTGTGTCTTCACAGAGACCCTCTGTGTGGAGTTTGCATGGTCTCCCCGTGTTTGCGTGGGTTTTCCCCGGGCGCTCCGGTTCCCCCTACATCTCCTAAAACATGCAGGTCAGGTCAGTTGGTCGCTGCAAATCGCCCCCAAAAAGAAACTTACTTAACACACAAACACACACACACGCACACACACACACCCCCTCCATGGGCTGCCACCTTATCGTGGTGGGGGGTTTGCGTGTCCCAGTGATCCTAGGAGTTCTGCTGCCTAGTGCAGACGGGTTCTAGGTGAGGGACCAGACCAAGTGCAGCCCAAAGATCCCTTATGATGATACGACCGTTGGAAACAGGGGTTGTTCTCTCCGTACATGAGGTCCCACCCTGGAGCCACCCTGGCCTGGGGCTGGGGCACGTTGGGGAGCCCCTGGTGGCCAGTGGTGGTATGACAATAAAAACCCTTGAATCCCTGAACTATATCAACAATATGTGCACCAAGCAATACATACACTTAGCATTCCACAGATAAATGCTTTTAATCTGGTTAAGAATAATAATTGTACTGTCAATAAATGACGTCTAATTGATGTTCTTAGTGACCAGAGGAACAATAAGGCCTTAATCAGCCCAGAGGTTCAAACTGATGAAACATGAGGATGGAGGCTCTCTATTAAAACATTCCTCACCATCTTCCATGTTCTTTCAGCAAACAGTTGAGACAGAGCTGGTTTTGGTTCCACCACTATTAACCTGCTGCTTTAGCCGCCATTGAAAGTTTTCTTAAGTCTGTCTGTCTGCAGATCATGTGACCAAACCAGAAAACACACTATGTGCGTGTGTGTGTGTGTGTATATATATATATATATATATATATATATATATATATATATATATATATATATATATATATATATATATATATATATATATATATGTGTATATATATATATATATATATATATATATATATATATATATATATATATATATATATATATATATATAAATAAATCCCTTCTCACCCACCGCGGGTGATTCTTATCCTCTGAGCTCGGGTCCTCTACCAGAGGCCTGGGAGCTTGAGGGTCCTGCGCAGTATCTTGGCTGTGCCAAGGACTGCACATTTCTGGACTGAGATGTCTGATGTTGTTCCTGGGATCTGTTGTAGCCACTGCTCCAGTTTGGGGGTTACTGCCCCGAGGACCCCGATGACCACAGGCACCACTGTGGTCTTCACCTTCCAGGCCCTCTCCAGTTCCTCCCTGAGGCCCTGGTATTTCTCTAGTTTCTCGTGCTCCTTTTTCCTGATGTTGCAATCACTTGGTATTGCTACATCTACCACAACGGCTTCCTCTGTTGTTTATCCACTACGACAATGTCTGGTTGGTTCGCCATTACCATTTTGTCTGTCTGGATCTGGAAGTCCCACAGGATCTTAGCTCTGGCGTTCTCCACCACCTTTGGGGGTGTTTCCCACTTTGATCTCGGGGTTTCCAGTCCATATTCTGCACAGATGTTTCTGTACACTATGCCTGCCACTTGGTTATGTCGCTCCATGTACGCTTTCCCTGCCAGTATCTTGCACCCTGCTGTGATGTGCTGGACTGTCTCAGGGGCCTCCTTGCACAACCTACACCTTGGGTCTTGTCTGGTGTGGTAGATCTGGGCCTCTATTGCTCTGGTGTTTAGGGCCTGTTCCTGGGCTGCCAGGATGAGGGCCTCTGTGCTGTCCTTGAGTCCAGCTTTTTCCAGCCATTGGTAGGATTTACTGATATCAGCCACTTGGGTTATTTGCTGGTGGTACATCCCATGTAGGGGTTTGTCCTCCCATGATGGTATCTCTGGCACCTCAACCTCCGTTCCCTGTTGTCTGAGACATTCACTGAGCACATTGTCTGTTGAGGCTTTGTCCCTGATGTATTTATGGATCTTAGTTGTTTCGTCCTGGACAGTGGTTCTCACACTCACTAGTCCTCTGCCTCCTTCCTTGCGGCTCGTGTACAGTCTCAGGGTGCTGGATTTGGGATGGAACCCTCCATGCATTGTTAGTAGCTTTCTGGTCTTAATATCTGTGGCTTTTATCTCCTCCTTTGTCCAGCTAATTATTCCAGCAGGGTATCTGATTACCGGCAAGGCATAGCTGTTTATCGCACGTATATATATATGTATATATATATATATATATATATATATATACATATATATATATATATATATATATATATATATATATATATATATATATATATATATATATATATATATATATATATATGTTCGCCATGTCATATATATATATATATACATATATATATATATATATATATATATATATATATATATATATATATATATATATATATATATATATATATATATATATATATATATATATATATATACATGTGTTGTGTGTGTGTGTAGGTAGGTGTGTGTGTGTTTTTTGTTTTTTTTCTTGCTTTTTTTGCATATTGATTATTTTTGTCTAATCACAATTGCTTATCTATCTTTAAAAATTATTAAAAGTTTTCTAATAACGTTTTGAAAAATATATTTTAGAACTGTCTAGGCTTTGAGTTATACTGTAAAACTGTCAAAGTAACCATAATTACTGTCTTAATGTGAGCTTCAATATGTTTGAATACTTGTTTTATTTTCTGAGATGATTTGACTGAAATGTTTATCCTCACCGCATATCTTTGCTTCTGTTTTGGCTTTTCCACACACAGTCACTGATGGCCTCAAAGTCGACCCGTGGCATCATGTCTGGAATAAATTGTTAAAATTCCTCTGTACCAACAAATTGAATCTTGGATCGAATCCATCTAAATCACAATGTGGTACTGCAAATCAGTTCAATCTCGCATTTCAAGCATGTTCGCCATGTCAAGTTTAAAAATTAATTTGTGAGCCATCAAGCTGGCAAAGACTTTGACGGTTTCTGAATCAATCTGAGGGTATGGAATGTAAATATGAGTTGACTATTGTACCGATTATATAACACAAAATAGGTGTATTTGTTCACTATAATAAAATATAGTTTTATCTGACCCTCACCGAACCATTCGGTGAGAGTTATACCTGTCTATTTGGAGCTTTTTTTGTCATGTAATCTTATTAAATTATGCAAGTAAATTGTCAAACATTATGACTTCTCTTGTTTAACATTTGTTGTGTTATTAATCTAATGCAAAAGGGTTGTAATGTAACCCTTTTGCACATAGATTATGTAATCATTGTAGCTGTGATTGTCATAGGATTTAGTGGCGTTCCACCACTCCTCAGTGCCTTTGTAGATGAAAATGGATACTTTTTGTGAATTAATATTCTTTTAAATTTCATATTAAAGCTTTATTTGACTATTTTTGTCAATGCACAAATGCCATCGCTTAGCCACCGGAGCACACAGAAACAGAGGAAAAAAAAATAAATAAATACGCAGAAAAATTACCAGTATACCTATACAAATAATAATATATTGTTACTGATGCTGATCAATCTGATGGCCAATAGGAAGCAACTATTCCTGAATCTGGCTATTCTACAGTGGATGCTTTAGTAATCAAGTTTGCTCTTTAGTTCTGCTAAATAAATAAAAATACATGTATAGTGTAGGTGTAATTTTGTATAAATATAATTTCCTAGAGGTTTATATTTGTTCAGAATCAGAGGAGTACCAATTCATTCTTAATTTGTAAATGCACAGTCCTTCATCAGTTTGAAGACTTTATTCAGGACTTCTTTAAGGCTTCAGACGTTCATGTGATGCATTTTTGTTGTAGTTCGTAAGTTGTGATGGATTAAAACATTAAAACAAGATATTTGATTTTTTTTTTCTGAACAGTGTCACTCTGCCAAGTTTCTAACTCATATACTTCATATATCCTTTTTATAGCAATGTCATAAAGTTTAATAGTCATATTCAATAAATGCCTTTCAGACGTTTTATTTCATGAGGTTCATTATACTATTTCTAAATAAAAATACCAAACATCAGCAGTATTTTACAGTCGATGTTTACTCACAGTCCTGCAGTTTTGCTCCCAAAACCATTATCATGATTATATCTTGACAAAGGCCAAAATGATGACTAACCCTAACCCTAACTGAATATTAGACAGCTGAATTCTAAATTTTAAGAAATGTCAGATATATAGCTACATGTTTACCTTTTACTAGATAGAATGT